TTGTCAAGTGGACACGCAGCATAATCTTTTAGTTTCTACTATAAACGTCAGCTTTCTAGACTTACGAAGGATAATACTCATCAATAGTGATGGGTATCACGAAATAGGATGGCCTAGAGTATCCCCTTAGGCGATGCCTCGATAGTTGCTCTCAAGTGGTCACGCACCATTACGCTTTGCCTATGAACCTCAGCTTTCTGGACCCTGCGGAGAATGCAACTTTCTTGGAGACAGAGAAGTCAACCTGGAGTCTCCACTCTTCTTGTTCCTCCTTAAGAAATAAATAGAACCCGTTAAAGAGGCACCGAAAGGGATGAAGTTGCGCTCCGCTCGAGCCCCGGCGCTATCAGCGAACGATGTAAAATCACAGAAATAGACCACGGGGTCGGTGTCAGTATAAATACATACATGTCGGCGGCGCGTGCAGGTTGTGCTCTCCTCCATGAAACTCGGCCAGGAGAGAGAAAAAAAGAGAGACAGGATACTACGAGTTCTAAACGTGCTCCAGAAATAAGACGTACGACGTTACAGGACCTCTTCTGCATCTTGTTTGTGCCGCCACAGGCTCAAAAATCCACGTTCGTACACACACACTAATTATACACGACGGAGTCGAGACGAGAACGATTTGATCCGATCCAATGGAAACCGATCCCAAGAAGAATTATAATTAGAGGGCCGAGAAGTTATTGTTGGACTGACCAGAGTCTGTGGAATTCCCCGGGATTATTGATGGATCGATTGTCGTCAACGTCGATATGTGTGTGTGTGTGTGTGTGTGTGTTGTTCTATCTTCTGCCGTCTTTTTTTAACTGGGACGAACGGTGGAAATTTCTTTTTTCCCGGTGCCAAAAGATCGTGGAAGCGGAAAAGTGTGCTGTTAGGGGGTCCTTGGTAGATCGCAAACGAGGGAATGTGATCGAAATGTCGGGCGAAGGTTGCGAACGCGAATGCAAAATAAGGGCAGTTTACCACCTTTCCGCTTAGTAAGGCAGTAGTTAGTCTTCCCCGTCGAATCAGCTTCTAATTAAGGAAGCCCTCCCCTGGTCAACAACTCCGCACGCACCGAACCTATATAACGTATAGCCTCGGAGGGAACAGAGAGAGAGATTCACGCGATTTCTCTCTGGCCTCCGCGTGATTAACACCCGACAGCGAATAAAAAAACGGGAACGAGAGAAAGCAGGCTAGAAAAATCGTCTGGTAAAGCTACAAATTTCAAGGTATTGTGTCCGTTAAATTGTGGACTTTTGAATTCGAATTCAAATTCGGTTTCAACTTTGACATCAATTCCAATTTCGACTTTGATTTCGATTTCGAGTTCGACTTCGATTTCGACTTTAACATTGGGAGTTCGACTTTGAGTTCGACGTCGATTTCGACTTTGATTTCGAGATCGATATCGAGTTCAAGGTCGACTGCAAGGTCTGGTTCGATTTAAATTAAGTTTTCCGCAACGTTGTAACCGTCCTCTTCGTGGGTAACGCCTCGATAAACCGGACGTAGAGTGTTTAACGATTCAAAAAGGTTGGCGCGAGTTAGTCGATAAACGAGAATTTTCCTCGATTCCTAGCCGACAGAGTTCGGGGTGGGGGTGGATCGAGGGGCCTCGGAGTCGTTGTAAACAATGGAAGGGAATCCCGTGTGAAAAGTACGAAAATAGTTGGAATTGGACGGGAAAAAGTATTTCCAGTCCTCTTTCTCCTCTTGCTTTGCCCGCTCTGTTTGCCCTCGGTATCGACTCTCTGGCCTCTTCAGCTCAATCAACGATATCGAGCGAACGCGCGCGCCTCTTCTCCAGACCGGGAAATATAGAACAGAAAATATATATGTGTGTGTTTCTCTCTCCCTCTCGTGAAACACACTGTGGAGGGCTATCGACCGAGAGGGAACGAGGGAAAAGAAGGAGGTGTACGCTTTGATTATTAAACGCGAGACCACTGGTGATGCCGTTGCGGACGAAAAAGTATCGAACCGTCTGGCTGTTCCGTACACACCTTTAATAGAAATTATGCCAACAATCAAACACTTGTGCGATACCGTGCACCTCCATTATAGAAACGATCCTTTTTTCTTAGGAATATATCGATAGCAAAGATGGATGAGTGAACGTCAGGTATTGTATCGATGAGTTTGTCACTTTTTTTAAATCTGTAGGTCCTGAAATTTGGCTGTGAAGTTGCGCGTCCTCAAGTTGGGTGACCAGTGCGTCCATTAAGTAGAGGGAAAGAAAACTGGCGCTAAGTGGGAACGGGGCGTGATGTAATTTTTCCGACAAATCCGCCAGCCGGTAATTAATTAATTGGAGGATCGATGCGATCACCCTGGTTAGGTCACCGCGAATTCTCGGACTGGCTCTTGTACATGTCCACACACATACACACATGTCCAGAGAACCCCGTGCTAGTTTGCAAAAGGAATCCGCTACACGCCTGAAACCAGTTGTTTAGCCGTGTCGCGAGCGTGCTCGAGGGGGGCCGCCTTGTAATAGGATGAAAATAGAGTTGTGAGTAAAAATTACGTAAACCCGATGAATGAATCAGGTTGAACTTTCCAAGTGAAAATGCGCGCGGATCAAACTCAGTCGATCGCGAGACACGACGTGCGATGTGTCGTCGTTATTCTATATCTCTTGCACGCTCGTGTTGCGCACGTTCTTCCACGGTATCGTAAATCAGCGATTGCGAAACGTACGTGTTTGTGGTGACGAAGGGGCGGGGGGGAGGAGCTTCCACGGTGTCTTAGTGAGCCCGAGAGCAATACCCCCCACCTCCATTGTCTTTCGTTTGCACACAGAAATATAATGGGAGATTGCATCGTTGAGAAATTGAACAAAAAAGAAGGAAAATCATCTGAAACATATTTCGTTTACCACACACATATACAGAGATAGACACAGTGTGGTCGTCAAGGTCGACACCGGGAGATAAAGTGTACCAAACTCGTGTCCCCAGACGTTCGGTCGAAATAATTGACTGAAAGTTGCCTAATACGGGATAATGGATACAGCCCTGCGTCCTGGGACATCAGTAGGGTCATACTTGTAAAGGCCCCCCCCCCTCCTTTCCTACTTTACGACCACACTTGTGTCCGTTTCCACCGGCCGGTACAGTCGGGCCCACGGTCCTTCCGTAGAATTTCATCTATGGAGTTTTATGGTCTTATATGTATACGTGCTCCGTTGTAAACTGGAATCGCCTGATGGCCCAAGTATATAGGTCGTTGAACACACACCATCGGAGCCGCGTCGAGATATTACAAGAATTCTATTCCGTTGGAAACGAGGTAACCTTTCGTTTCTCCTTGACGCCTTCGCCGCGGCACAAGGAATGAAAACGATTTCCGGTGTACCGATATTCCCCTGACAAGACTGTGGAACGTCATAGAGGAAAGTTGCTCTAAGAACCGGTGTGACGAAAGAAAGTGTTTCGAGTGATTAACCCCTGTAACGGTTATTATCGCGAGGATTAACTCATTCACAGTGTAGCGAGAGTCGGACAAGTCATCAAGGGTGTCACCTGTGGAACTGTTTAGTTTCCCAGAAATTTCTACGTAAAAAGTTCAATCGTTTTTCTATTTCGTCGTAACAGGAGCTGTGGTTCCGTGTAATTTTATTACGCTGTAAAAGGGTTAACATTAGATCGGCATTGTTTGTGGAAAATAATCGCCGTTCTCGAGTGGGATATTTTGTGAATGAAAATCTGATCGGTTTTGTTGCCCACCTCGCGGCGAGGGGGGGGGGCACACGTTGCGTTACATCCAGCACTGGGGGCCTGGAGAAAACGAGGAAAATAGTGAAACTTTGCGCAGTACGCGTGCGAGCGGCTAGAGGGCAACACGAATCGATTACCGCTTTGCTAATGGCTTATTTCACTTAACACGCCTTTCCGTGGCGACCAGCAGGTTCACTGCTACTCGGTTGTGTGTGTGTGTGTGTCGTCGGTCGGCGAATCGGTTTTCCACGTACTGAGAGATCGACAGGGAAGAATGAAGCTCGAGGGGCCGTATCAGTGAGAAGAGAGATCGGTTTGCACGCGAATTCCCGATCCACTCTTACGCGTCAGCTCGTGCACTGTCACCAGAAGGTAAACGGATCATCATATTCTCCTATTTCCTCAGTCGTTGTTCCGTCTCTGTTCCCCGCGGGTCAGTGTTATTTATAGATTGGCTATCCGCCGATGTCCGTTCGATCCACTCGGTCCCGTTATCCTTCCTCGTCGTGACATCATTTCGGAAGTAAACGTCTGGTCGTCGCCGTAGCTCTGGTCTCTCTGTGTAACGGACTCTCGGCTCGACGAGGGCCACATAACCTCAAAACCGTGTCGGCGTTCCACTGACAGGCCGTGACTCGTCCCGTCGTCTTCTCGCATTCCCAGACGCCGACGGCGATCTTACCCTTCTACCCACCTACGCGTTCCTCGCCGGTGACCAGTCGATAAACCGGCTGGGTTCACTGACTCGAATTTCCTGTTGTGTGTCCTCCGGAAGCCGTCCGTGTCGTGCACAGAAATGTCGATCTCGGTTCTGTCGCCCGACACCCAGGAGAAATTTAAAATACCGTTGTCGGTGACGCCTTCGAATCATCTGTGTAACCTTCGACGGAATTCTTGGTGATTGTATGTCAGCTTGTGCAACTTGAAATGGTATGCTTCATTGATGAATGGTTGGATTGTCCTTTGCTGAATTTGTTTTTTTTTTTTTATTTACTCGTTATGTTTTCCTTGATGCTGTTGGGAGATTGTTGTTAGACAAGATAGATTTCTGTCTTTGTGTATTCTTGATAGAGTGGACATACTTTCAAGGAAAAGGCCTGCGAATATCATTATCTCTGAATGACACACCTATATAAATATAACTATGATTCAGATCATTTTATTACATGCTAATGACCCTTCCTTTTCTGTTGGTATTCGCACAAGTTGTTATAATGTTTGGTGAACACAGGAGGTTAAAGAGGCAAGGGTTCAGGAATTTAAGAATTGTTTGTTTTTCTGTTTCAGCTGTTGGCCCTCCAATTTCCTGGAGGCCGGTGGTGTCAGTGACACCAGAGAATAATAGGAGCTGCTAACTTTAAGAAGTGCAGTAGAGTTGGCTTAGGCCAACGTCGGTGGACTAGGCAAAATGGCAACAATAGATGGCCGACCGGCCCAATATGGTGTCACTCTTAAGCAACTTCGTGAGCTCATGGAGCTCCGGGGACGTGAAGGTGTCAATAAAATCAATAGCTACGGTGGTGTGCAGGAGATTTGTAAAAAACTGTATACTTCACCCAGTGAAGGTAAAATCACTAAGTTATGTTTGTCCTCGTTTGTTACTTTAATCTGTCTTCGTGAACAAAATTTTAAGAAATTCGATTAAAAAAAGTGATCCTTGCTCTATGTAGGTCTCAGTGGATCAGCGGCGGACATCCAACATAGACGAGACACATTTGGTTCAAATCTAATACCTCCAAAACCACCAAAAACGTTTCTACAGTTAGTGTGGGAGGCTTTGCAAGATATTACGTTAATCATCTTGGAAGTAGCAGCATTGGTTTCATTAGGTCTTAGCTTTTATCAACCAGCAGATGATGAGGAGGAACCATGTAAGTATGAACTCTGATATATATATATATTATATATATATAAAATATAATATATATATATATATTATATTATATATAAAACCATATCTCTGACTGAACTCTTTAATCACTGGATAATGGAATAAAGACATACAAACACTTAGATTTCATGTAGCTGTGAGAGTACCATTGATAATATACCTGATAATGATGTACTGTTCATAACATAGTATTACATAATGTCTTGATAAGTAAGCTATCAAGTATATATACATTAATCAGAAATTTCAATAATAACACGGTTAGTTGCAGCATACACTCTTCATTAGAAAATTGTAAGGAAAAATTAAGGGAAAGTTGTAAAAACGTGTGTTTCGTGAATTTTCAGCTTTGGTAGATGAGGACGAAGCAAAGTATGGCTGGATTGAAGGACTTGCTATATTGATTTCTGTGATCGTGGTGGTGTTAGTAACAGCTTTCAATGATTATTCTAAGGAAAGACAATTTAGAGGCCTCCAAAGTCGGATAGAAGGGGAACATAAATTTTCTGTCATTCGGCAAGGGGAGGTGAAACAGATCTCTGTGTCTGACATTGTTGTTGGTGACATTTGTCAGGTATGTGTACAGTAACTTCATTGATTATATAGTTACTAAATTAGTTAACCTACATGGTCAAAGAAACATCTCAGAACACTGAAAGTACATGTATATCAAAACAAAAATTAGACGAGATTCTCTGGTTAATGACAAAGAATAATTATATCCGACTGTTTGTTACTGCTTCGAAGCGCTGATCTGTTTTAAGTCAGAAATACGTTTAGTAACAGGAAATGTCAGTTTGTGTCGTGTCAAATAATAAAAGAAGGTCTTCCTTAAATTGGCCGATCTGTAATTCAGATAAAGTATGGAGACCTGCTGCCAGCAGACGGTGTCCTTATACAAAGCAACGATCTCAAAGTGGATGAATCCAGTTTAACAGGAGAGTCAGACCATGTTAAGAAAGGAGAACACTTTGATCCCATGGTTCTCTCAGGTGAGGATTCTGTAGGCCGAATCGGATGCCGGTAGTCACTTGTACGAATTTATTTCGAATAATTATATATCGACTTTTTCTTTCGAAGGTACCCACGTGATGGAGGGCTCTGGGAAAATGTTAGTCACCGCGGTGGGTGTTAACTCGCAGGCTGGTATTATCTTTACTTTGTTGGGTGCTGCCGTTGATCACCAAGAGCAAGAAATCAAGAAAATGAAAAAAGGTACGTACGCGTGTGGTTTCGATGGCTATCGTTTTTTTTACTATTATTTTTAAATTTGAAGAAACTCCGAGTAGTTTGAATTGTTTATATTTCGATAGACTTAGTCTGAGAATGATAATGCTACCTTATAGTACGTTGAAAATCTTTTAATCCGTTATTTACTTCTCCATCGTAGAAGGTAGTGAATGAATGATCTACAAGCGGAAGTTGATTATTCATTGCGTAGAAAGAAGTCTGTAAAGAGTAGTAGCGAGTAATGTAATGCAAAAGCTCCGCATGACACAGTACAAGTGCAAACGTAGAGAATCAACAGTTCTAGCATGGTATTCATTTTGAAATCGGTGTGAAAACATTTCTCTATGAATTTAATTCTAGATACTTTGTTACCCTTTGTTTCCTTGGCATGCATTTACAGCACCTTTAAATCACGATGTTTGGAACCATTCACTAATTATCGTTTGAAGAGAAAAAAATATAATTAAAGAGAAAAAATTCTGTGTCTTGGTAAACATAAAGAACAAGTAACAACTGATTTTATTCGAATATAAAAACGGTTAACTATTTCACAAGTATATGGCACGCTCGCATTTACGTTTGTTAGTCTGCATTTTGTTGTAAATGTTTGGTTTCTTGTCCTGTGTGTTGTGTACAGAGTATTTTTATAGAACCATTTAGGGGTAGCTTTTCTACAAAGGGGTCGATTCCTGCCAGTGATCAAAAAGAAGCAGACACCAAATAGAAATTGTTGTTGTAGAATATCCAACCTTTGAGTCGAGTATGTAGTGGGAATCGACCTTGTTATACTATAAAGGATGAATTAGACAAAACATTTTTTAGGAATGCTTTTCTTTGTGATTTACGTTGTTGTGTACGTCAGTTGTTGTCGCACAACCTGGAAGGCCCTTTAGTTTGGTCACTGAACCTGCCGTTCGGAGAAAATGATTTATAACGTTGCTGTCCGCACGGCCAGAGTCAGAACCTTCTGGGTTGTCCACTCTAGACTTAAGCTAAGTCCCCAGTAGACCTGATACAAGAATTCAGCCTTGAGATATTTCTTACGACAGTATATTAAATTACAAATATGGCGTAACTTACTCCTGGCATATTACATTTTTAGATAGATTTGCTAATCGATTTTGTTTTGCATGCGTTTTTTTATCTAGAGGCTAAGAAGCAGCGGAAGAAGAAGTCATTAACAGGTGAATAAAGTACTATCATCAATTATTACTGTCCATCATTTCTCGGTGTTAAGCGTGTACTTGTACATTCAATGAGCACGCCCGCGTACTTAATTCTTTTTTTCTTTTGATTTTTTTTCTTTTTATAATTTTTGTTTTTCTCTTCACTTTCAAGTGAGTTACCAAAACGCGCTACTAAAAGAATTTGTAAGAATTTCTTAAGATAAGAGGGACACTGTTTAATTTGTATATCTTGGACTTTCCACTCCAATTTTTGTTTTTTTTTTTGTCTTTTTTGTTACTGCACACTGTATGGTATGTTTTGCCTCTATTCTTTTTTCAGAAGAGAAAATTGTGTTCTGTTTATCGAATCAATCTATTATGTCACTTTTGTTTACCGATCTTCCATTGAACAGAACATATCTGTACAAGTAGATGGAATATTGTCTCGTCCGTGCTTCTCTGTACCTTCTTCTACCACATTTCTGAATGCTTCAACGGTAATGGTTTCTGCATTTGGTACACTTAGCGGCCATTATGAATTCTGTATAGCTTTCACCGCACTGCAACCACTACCACCACCAAGTGGTCTTTTTTTCTTTGTTACATCCTTTGATTTTCTTTACACGTCTGTGCTCTTAACCCGTATGTAAATCGTTTGTGTATCTCAAGTCACACCCCACCCGATTATTATCCTTTCGCTTATAGCACCGTTTACAATACTTCTTGCTTTTCTTCTACAAATACTACTGTTTTGCTTATACTAGCCACACTAGTTTATTTCGGTACAGATTAGAAGGTGTAAGTGTGTACAATACAGTTGTTAAGTGTTTCGAGGAGTTCGATTACTGCTCGATTCCTACGATACGTCTAATCTTTTAATGTACGATTCATCTAATCTTCAAACTCTAAACATGAACAATTGTAACTGTTCGTGACATATTCGCGACCGATGACCATGCAATAACTCACTTATCCGATGACATTTATAGCCTCCAGGACTAATAAAAGGTGAACATTTTATCGGATCTAACAAGCTTTCTATTTTATTCTGAACTCGATAAGATACTCAAGAGGAAAAATAAATTTCTACGTTTGCTCCAGCCTTTAGAAAGTGTTATTTTGCATAAAAAATCTGCAGTCTAAATATTATATTTACAAAAACATTGTCGGTTTCTGGGGAATAGTCCTTCAATTCAATTTAACGTCTGTCGTTCGAATGTGTTAAGAAGAGTATATATTCAATTAATAAAAAGAGCGGGCATCGAGCTCCGAAGGAGTGACGCGTGTCCAAGGAGAACTCAGAGCGTTTTGTGTGTTGCAAACCAAAAGGTGACGAAGCTGGTGAAATAACCGGAAACAGCCACGTAAGCAGCGGCGGGAAACACGAGTCCGGGGAGAATCATCAGCCGCCCCCGGCCGCTACCAGCGGCGAAGGGAAGAAAGAGAAGAGCGTTCTACAGGCCAAGCTAACTAAACTCGCCATACAAATCGGTTACGCCGGCTCGACCATAGCAGTGCTTACCGTTGTCATTCTAGTCATTCAGTTCTGCGTAACGACGTTCGTTATCGAGGGGAAACCTTGGAAGAACACGTACGCCGGTGATCTGGTGCGGCATTTGATCATCGGTGTGACGGTACTGGTGGTCGCCGTTCCCGAAGGTCTTCCTCTGGCAGTCACCCTGTCTCTCGCTTATTCAGTTAAGGTGTATATCGCCTTTAAAATAACAAAAAAAAAATATATGTGTGTGTGCGTGTGTATAGAATTGAAATCGACACGTTCGCTACCAGGTATCGCGTGTGACGCTTTAATTCCTAGGTTAGGAATACCTTATTGGACAAAACCAGAATATTTTCTACAATATTCGTGTACTTTCTATTATTCTGTTCTTTTTCATACTGTATTAAGATTGTAAACTATAATATGTTGGTAGTGAACGTTCTGTTAAGATGTGCCCTAGTGTGTATAATGGGGACAAGATGTTTCTCACGGCTGTCGTTTTTGCGTAGAAAATGATGAAAGACAACAACCTGGTACGTCACTTGGACGCGTGCGAAACGATGGGCAACGCGACTGCGATCTGTTCGGACAAGACCGGCACACTGACAACCAATCGGATGACCGTCGTGCAGTCGTACATATGCGAGACCCTGAGCAAGACGCTGCCAAAGTTCTCGGATCTCCCGAATCACATTGGGAATCTGATCATTCAGGCGATATCCGTGAACTCGGCGTACACATCCAGAATAATGCCCACGCAAGACCACGAATTGTCGCTTCAGGTCGGCAACAAAACCGAATGTGCCTTACTTGGATTCGTAGTGGCCCTGGGCATGAACTATCAAACGATAAGGGACGATCAGCCTGAGGAAACCTTCACGCGGGTATACACGTTCAATAGCGTTAGGAAGAGCATGTCCACCGTGATACCGAGAAAGGGCGGTGGTTTCAGGCTCTTCACCAAGGGCGCTTCCGAGATCATCATGAAGAAGTACGAAACACTTTGTTTACCACGGTCTCGACTTGGGTGAATCACGCGACTAACGAAAATATTTGATATTAGACCACCTCTTTATATTTTTAATCACGGGCTTAGAAGATTTCTTTTGACCCTTTGTGATGATTCTGTAGATCTTATCAATTTTTTTAATAACTTTTGCATGTGTCGCTTGATTCACCATCTATAATTGGGTATAGACTAGTGATGGGCGATACATTATCTGCATGTGCAACGTAACAGGTCGTCAGACAAATGGCAGTGACGGTGTTTTTCCGGTGTTTTTCAGATGTGCCTTTATATATGGTCGCGAAGGTCATTTGGAGAAATTTACCAAAGAGATGCAAGACCGTCTGGTAAAGAACGTGATCGAGCCGATGGCGTGCGACGGGCTTCGTACGATCTCCATTGCTTATCGCGACTTCGTTCCTGGCAAGGCAGAGATCAATCAGGTTCACATCGACAACGAGCCGAATTGGGACGACGAGGAGAACATAGTGAACAATCTGACGTGTTTGTGCATCGTCGGTATCGAGGATCCGGTGCGTCCGGAGGTGCCCGACGCGATACGAAAGTGTCAGAAGGCTGGGATCACCGTGCGTATGGTGACCGGCGACAATATAAACACCGTTTCGTGACAGCCACGGCGAGGTCCAGCAACATCTGTTGGACAAAGTGTGGCCGAAGCTGAGGGTGCTAGCCAGATCATCGCCCACCGACAAGTACACCCTGGTCAAAGGGATAATCGACAGTAAAGCGACCACCAGCCGTGAGGTTGTCGCCGTGACCGGCGACGGTACCAACGACGGCCCTGCATTGAAGAAGGCGGACGTTGGTTTCGCGATGGGGATCGCCGGTACCGATGTCGCCAAGGAGGCTTCCGATATCATACTAACGGACGATAATTTCTCGTCGATAGTGAAGGCGGTTATGTGGGGTCGGAACGTCTACGATAGTATAGCGAAGTTCTTGCAGTTTCAGCTGACCGTGAATGTCGTCGCTGTTATAGTCGCTTTTATCGGCGCGTGTGCCGTGCAGGATTCGCCGTTGAAAGCGGTCCAGATGTTGTGGGTGAACCTGATCATGGACACGTTAGCGTCCCTCGCTCTGGCCACCGAGATGCCTACGCCTGATCTGCTGCTACGCAGACCTTACGGTCGCACGAAACCGCTCATCTCCAGGACAATGATGAAGAACATCCTTGGCCAGGCTGTCTATCAGTTGACCGTTATTTTTATGCTTCTTTTCGTTGGTGATTGTCACTTCTCATTTAATCTTCACTGTGTACCCGTGAGTCATCTTTTTCGGTCCGAAGACGAAATTTGAATAGGTTCAGAGCGCTGAGTTTGTGCCCTTGCGGTATTTTGGTCCGATTTTAGGTTTCTTGGATCTCTACTTTAATGGTGGTTCGGTTATTTGCAACGATTTCTGTATATTTTTCTTTGGCATCTTGAGAGATGACCATGGGGGCTAGAAGAACACCTCGTAAACGCGATTCGTCCGTTTGACCAGGGACTTTTTCTGATCGATAGGTGATAAGATGCTCGACATCGAAACAGGCCGAGGGGTGGCGCAGGCTGGCGGAGGTCCAACGCAACACTTCACCGTCATCTTCAACACGTTCGTCATGATGACTCTGTTCAACGAATTCAACGCCAGGAAAATCCACGGTCAGCGTAATGTCTTCCAAGGAATATTCACCAACCCCATCTTTTATTCTATCTGGATCGGCACGTGTCTGTCGCAGGTAAATAACCCGGTGAAAAAATATTCCTGACATAACATGAAATCTCTATCTGGTAGCCCTAAGAACTTTTGTGTGTGTATTATCTGTCTCTGGTAGAGAACTTTGTGTGTGTGTATCATTTTTCTTTTCTCCAGTTTACGTACACGAACGTCTACGAAACGTGGAAGATGGGGTTCGATAGAAACCACCGCCGTAAAAGTGCGTTAATTGAAAGGTGGCGTGTGATTCAATCAAAATTTTCAATTTATTCGTGTATTGGACCCTGTCTTTGACGTTAAATATTGCATTTCGCGACGGATTAACACATATATATGTCCTCTGTTCTCATATGTATAAGTTGACAAAGGTATTTCTAAATAGAGAGAACGATGCTGTGTAGGAAGATTAGTGACGATCGTCGATTTATAATTCGATCGCACGCAGATAGGTTGACCGAACGAAGGGGAGACCGAGTGGTACCCGCAGCCATGATGGAAATGAAAAACCTCAAGCTATCGAGGACCCAACGTCCTTGACAATTACGGTGACTGCGAAACGATTCTACTGTACCTTGTCTCTGTTAACGGACCCGTATGTCTCTTTTCTAGGTAGTTATCATACAGTATGGTAAAATGGCGTTCAGCACGAAAGCTCTCACATTAGAACAATGGATGTGGTGCCTGTTCTTCGGATTCGGCACTCTATTGTGGGGCCAAGTAGTTACGACTATTCCTACGCGCAAGATTCCTAAAATCCTTTCGTAAGTGATACATTCACATATACCAACAACAACAAAAAAAAACTATATGAAAATATCTCTAGTTGTGTCTATAGATGATGAGAGATACTTCTGTTCGGTAATATTGTTTAGTATCTTTTCGATATTTACGTTTGTACGAGCTCCATATCTGGTATATTTACATAGGGTGTCCTCTTTTATATTTCTGTCTGATCTTCAAAGATCACCTTCCGTACGATATAAAATCATGACTATATATATATATATATATATATATTTCGACGGAGGTAGTTACAATAATATAGCCGGTGATGATTTTATAGGAATACAGTTTTTGCTGTTGAGGCCACCCTGTGTATGATCTATCTTTTATTTTCTTTCTTTCTACGTGATTTCTTTCCATTTTTTTTTGTCTTTCTCTCGTCTGTGTCGTTTTGAGTTTCCCCCGGATGCTGGAAATGTGTTGGAGCTGAAATAGAAAGAGCGTAAACCATTGTGCGCCGCGCATATTTAGAAAGTTGGATTTTTCTTGCTTTCCGCGGGCGCGTGTGACAGGAACGCCATGCGCGCAAATGGAAAATGGATGATCACGAGCTTTCTCGACAAACGTTGCCGCCGACGCACCCTGTTCATTTTTTTTTTTTGCTTTATTTTTTCCGTAAACCGTTGGTAACTAACATCCCACCCACCCCTCCACCCCGCTCTCCAAATTAATCGTTTCGGTTCGAATCGGTAGATTTTATTATCGGACTTTCCAATGAGACCCTTTCTGTGTGGTACACGACCATAGAGCCGCCTTTTGCATGAACCCTCTGAATTAATTACTTACCAACGTGTACATATATATATATACACACATATATATATATCGATACACTTGGAAACTGATCTACAGTGAAGGATAACAGTGAATCCTCTTTATTATTAAGTGTACACGTTCAAAACTTACCTTTATGTGAAATGTGTATTGTATACATGTATACGATCACGTCACGCAATGTACGATTATATTGTCTGCAACGGCAGAAAATGGAAGAACACTTTGTTGTCCCTCGCTGTATCCACTAAGCACGATTGATCTCTGTGTCGATCTCTGTTTATTGTAAACATGAAGGTCGTTGCTCGTGTAAGAGAATATACATACATATATCAGTAGTTCCGTGCACGATATCGACACATCGTGATCGATAACTCGTTACACGAGCAACGGGCCCCACAGTTACGCCGAGTAAAAGTCGTCTTTGGGGGAGGGGGGAAGAGCGCAGCCAAGCGTGTTGTGGTGACCACCACCACCACCAGCGTTGTGAGAACGATCCCCGAATTTCGAACCCCGGTGCGAATATACCGAACGAAAACAGAAGATAAGTATCACGTGTACTCGGTATATCGTGTGGAAGGTGTATCATAGAAGGGAGGCATGCATCGTGGAAAGAAGTCATATTATTATAACTATAGTAGCTGTGATAGCGTGTAGTGCTTCCGTTCGTTTATGTTATTATATATCTCTATCTATCTCGCTTTTGAACCGAGTCCCTTCTGTATATCTAATGCTTTTTCGTGTTTCTCCCCCCCCCCCGTATTCCTTTACTCTTAGCTTTTACGTAGCATGCTCCTTTAGACGCCCTAGCAATCCGATTCGGCCCAGTCGTGAACGAATTGGACGCCTATATAGTCGCGACAGAATGATGCTCGACTCTTCCCTCGCTCCCCCCTCAACCTTTCTTGATAATTATACCATATATACCATTGGCCCAACATGCCTGGAATCTCCAAGTACCCTGGAAACGGATCTTGGATCTTCCATTGGCTGTGTGGATGGACTGGAAAGTGCCTCGGTGTCCGAAGTGGAGATTTTGTTGATCTAATGACGCGTCTTGTTGAAATAGTTTATTTTTTTTTAAAGCTTAGTTCTCTTTAAAGGAACGATAAGGCGAGAAATTACGTTGTAGATTCTAGGTGCACAGGGTGTTCATGTATAATTACAGTTTTATTGAGTGCTGCAAATGACTGGGAAGAAAGACTTGTGTTCATGTGTATATTTTCAATTTTTCCAGAGAGCAAGATTCTATTCTATACCTCATTCGACGAGTTGTGTCAGTAACTATAAACAAATGGAGGTGATGACACCATTTAGCACACGAAAATGTTTTGGTTATGTTTACTGACTCGTTCCGTCGAACGGACAATAGATAAATAAAAAATCTCGTGAAATTTCCAGGTTCACGCGGAACACCCTGTTGATCCCAACCACATTTTTGGACACCGAAGCACACACACACACACACACACACATGTGTATAGTCTGTCTTAAGAACCGCGGGACCAAGCGGATAGTCGACTTAGCCGTGTTGCATGCACTATACAACAACCCCTCTGTCTCTACGTACTTGTTTGCTTGTATAACGAGACAGAACGAACGGCGACCCCGACGATATTCACACACAGACTCGTGTCGTTCGATTCTGGTGCAAGGGGTGACTCTCAGTGGCCCATAAAATAGATCACTGTCTGCGGATCTATCTCGGTTTTGCGACAAACGGTGCAAACGAGAAAAACGAAATGACATTACCAAGTGGTATTTGCGCTTAGCACTTGTCTCTGTAATCACATCTATCGCTGATGCTATATACTTAACCGTCTTTCTTTCTTTCTATCTTTCTTTCTCTGTGTTTCTCTGTTCTTTGTCTCTGTATTTCTTATCTGCTACCCTCTGTCTCCACCATCCCCTGGGTTACATTTTCTTGTTTTCAACCGTCCTCCCCGTCCCAAAAATTCGTCCATCATACATACATGTACACACGGAGCCAAAAGAAGTACTACATTCTCCTTCTGAACCGGTTTCCCTCTGCATCTATTTCTCTCTGTCTTTCTCTCTCTATTTCTGTCTATCTCTGTCCGCTTTGGGTAGCCACAAATACCATCTCGCAAGAGAATGGACTAATGAAAACTCGCTGCTCTCGCGTCGAGCGCCACTAATCAATCAGATCTGCTGCTAACGTATACACATGATTATTTAACACAACACATACATACATACATACACACTCTGGGCTAGCGGTGGCAGAGTTAGCTTCTGTGCTCTCGTCCTCAGAATTTCTCTCTCTGCAGTGTGTAAATGGGACACTAAGAGAGAGAGAGGACACACACATACACGTACACAGTGACACGCACGGGGCGTGTGGGGTTCTCTCGCCTCTTGTTTTAATCTTCTGCATACGCTTTCGTTCGAGCTTCACGAGCCACTTTTGTCGTCGTTGTAGGACCGTGAATAGTGCAAAAAAAAAAAAAAAAAACGTAGCCGCGGTGTCCCCTTGAGCTTTTTTACTAACCACGTGCCTGCCCCGCCCGACAGGCAAGGGAAGGAGATCACGCCGCATCGCCTGGCCCGACTAACAAACTCGGATATATGGTATATATATATTAATAATACATATCTCTGGGGAGATAACGGAAACGAGTCGCGGACGCGTCCAATGATCACAGGAATGAAAACGTTGATACATATATGAACCCTGTCCAGAGAAGAAGGAAAGAATTGGAGATCAGAAACCGGTCCCCCGTTTGTCGTTACCCTCTCCGAAACGCGCGTACATTCTGTTCCCTGATCCTTCTTGGGTTCGTACAGTCCACCCAACATTCCCTCGTTTCTTCTTCATGTTCATTTGTTGTTTCCGGTTCTGTTGGTTGATTTTACGTTCCTTCTCATCGCTGTCGCCCTTCTTACCCAAGTACAAAAGTATCTCATCATCTCCACTATTACAGGACACACTAAGGTGTTATCAGCTAATAGGACCATCCATAGTGTGTCTTCTTTGTTTTTCATGACACAAGACAATAATTGGGGAACAAGTTGTATGGTGTACGATATATTGTAGTTGACAGAAAATCTCTCTACAATAATATTTTTTGAATTTATGGTCATTGACAGAGATACTACACTTTGGATGGTCACGTTCACTGGAACACCTTGAATATACATACGCACACACACACAGAAATACGTATCACACGTGTACACACACACACATACACGCTTTTTTTACAAGTGTCATTCGTTTCCGTTTCATCAGCAGAAACGCATTTATCGCTCACTCTGCCCGCATTGCACCTCATCGCATCCCCCTCGTTCGTTGGCTCATTCTTTACACGCCGCAAAACATTCTTTTCTTGTATATGTGTGTATATCGTGTACCGGCTGTTTCGAAGGCGGGTGTCCAATACTTTAGACTCACTGTTCTGGACGGTTGTTGTACATTTTTCTTTTCCAAAGTACAGTAGTACCCCGTTACTTGTCATTCTCGATACGAGTCGGTTATTTCTTCTAAATACAGTGTTACCTCAGTACGAGTCGGTTGTACATTTTTTTTTTTTTTTTTTTTCAAAGTACAGTAGTACCCCGTTACTTGTAATTCTCGATATGAGTCGGTTGTTGCATATTTGTTTTTTTCAAAGCACAGTAGTACTCCGACAGTTTTCATTCTCGATACGAGTTGGTTGTTGTACATTTTTCTTTCAAAGTGCAGTGTTACCTCGTTACTTGTCATTTTCTGGGACCCCACGAGACAGAAGACCTGGGGGGAGACTTGCCTCGACGATACTTCGTGAATTATCATCCTCGCCGCTGAAACAGCCTGTGCATACATATCTCTTTGTCCGTCTGCTTTCCTTTCTCGGCCACTTCCGATCACCGTTGCGCCGCCGCCGTCGATCGAATTCTCGCCGTAAAAAAAAAAAAAAAAAAAAAAAAAAAAAAAAAAAATAAAGCACAGACAGAAAAATCAAAGATCGATTATAAATATGCCCTGCATCGTCGTCGTCGACACCATGTACAAAAGAGAGCGTGGTCGTTAGGTGTCCAAGCTAAGGAGCGAGGGGAAACGTGTTAAACGTCGATCCAAAACAAAAAGTACTAACAGATAAATAAAAACCGAATAAATAAAAAAAACGTAATCGGGGTGCAGTGCGTCGAGGAGCCGGCTCAGCGAGAGCTTTTTTGACGATATCCAACGGCGTCAAAAGAACAAACAAAAAAACAAAAACAAAAGCCTCTAAAGTAAATAGGAAACAAAAAAAAAATCTACTTTGATTATAGACCCAATATGTGTAACAGGGATCGAGTGATGAAGAATTGGTTTCATGTTTTTTAAAAACAGATGGGGCCGCGGCCAGCCGGATGATATCGGTGCGATCAATCTCGGAGATGAGAAATTCGACCCTGACTCGGATAAAAAGCCGCGCAAAGGACAAATTCTATGGCTCCGTGGTCTAACACGACTACAGACACAGGTAACTATCCCTATCTCTCACTCTCATGCCATCAACTCGGAAGACAGCGTGTTCTCCTCGGGTCTCCCCCCACGAACCCCGACCCTTCGGGATCAAATTAACGAGTAAAATATGATTAACCGAAAAACAAAAAAAAAAAAAAAATACCTAGAGAACACGATCAGAGAAGGAGACGGTGTGTGATAATAATCAGAGCAAAAAAAAAAACATAATAATAGACAGAGCCGCGCGATGTTCCAACATCATATTTTGGTTTGGCGAGAGCCTTGGCCGCGCCGCCACCGTTGCTCTCTTCAGGGGCTGTGAGAAACGCCGCACCACTGTGTTCCACGGCTGCGTTCAGCGTTCTTTCAACCACCTGTATATATATATATACACACACACACCACCGTTGATTGTGTGTTACAACGTACATATGTCCGAGATATACCATCTCTCATATCGGAACCAAAACAGAGTATTGTTCTCGTTTTTTGAACCGTGATTGTCTGTGCAGGGTGTACTTGGTAACTTCAGGAGCACCAATACCCAGTTGTGCCAGGAGAAGCTCCTCCAAACCATGAACTTTGTGAAATTTTGTAGAGATCTCTGGGGGTCTTGTCACGCGTAGACAGACAAAAAGTTTCGTCAGGTTCATGGTTTGGAGTGTGTACTTGGTAACTTCAGGAGCACCAATACCCAGTTGTGCCAGGAGAAGCTCCTCCAAACCATGAGCTTGGTGAAATTTTGTAGAGATCTCTCGGGGGTCTTGTCACGCGTAGACAGACAAAAAGTTTCGTCAGGTTCATGGTTTGGAGGCGCTACTCCTGGCAACCACTGATCCAGGATTGTAACGGGAACTCTTTGTAGTTGTTTCGAAGTGAAATTGGACCATTCGGTTAATTTTTGTCTGATTGTCATTCTGGTGTCCTGAATGGCACCCCTGAGAAATAGAAGTTCTGGGCAAGTGACGAGGAAGATGGTCCAGCCCAGTCACAGGTATTCCAGATCAGACTTTATGATTGGCCGAATCTATGGCTGACACTGAGTCAAAAGAGTCAGAATATTGTATTATCCACGTGCACCCTGCACAACCAATCGGTTGAGAAGTATATTATATACGTATACTTTGTTCCCATATGTTTCATTGTTCTCCTTTCGTTTCCGTTTTTACTCGTTTATACGTTCGTGCCGTTGTTTACCTTGGTTTGCATTTTCAGTTGAGTTCTCCAACCACGTGTTTACCCTCGCGCGTGCGCCCAGTACGCGAACGAATCGAATCCCGTGTTAGCCACCGACACACACAGGCAAAGAAAGAAAGTCTCTCGACAGCCCAGTGAAACCGTGTCTCGAATTCTCGATGGAGAGCCATGTTCTGATCGTCTTCGGATCTTCCTCTGAATTATTCTGAGTCTCAGGAACCAGTGGTTCCCAATGATCAGGCGGACCAAACTTGATTCTGGGTGCCTTCGAGTACCCTCCACTCTCTCAGTTTCAAGAACAGTGTCTGTACTTGATTCTAGTCCTTTACGAACCAGGGATTCATTATAACAGTAATGCCTCGATAGTAGTACATAGCGTAATAAACCTCTCATAGGATGTTTCATAGATACACCAGTGAAGATTCGATAGGGAATCAGTTATCGAAGCATTACTGTACTTCAATAGAAAATGTCATTTTTACTGGAACTCGTAAAGGATTATCTGCATTCACTGCCCAATGGAATTTCGATCTTCTTCCAGAATCTTGGAATCTCTTCCTCGTTGATTTGTCACCTGTGGTATCCGTTCTAGGGGAACCTAAGTGTTCCACGTTTATCGTTAAGATCTCCCCTGGCTTCTCCATCGATCGAAAATTATGTCCCCAGTTTGATATGTGACAGTTCGAAGAGGTTAATTGGGGACGCAGCGGAAATCCAGGTCGGTGGCCTTAATTGAATCGGCGATCGACCGCGGTTAATTGATCTTTGCCCGTCCCTGGAACCAACCGTGTGTCGCATTAACCGTTCAATTATTGGACTCCTCGTTGTTTTTTTATCGAATGATGAGTAAGAATCACTGTTTCAAGCCAGCAGTTTCAGGGACAGGCAAGGTTCGTAGGGCTTAGAGGAAGCTAACGGTAGACCAGCTCTCGAGCTTGCGCTTGATCTAGGCCCTCTAGACGGCTAGTCGTCGGTTTATAGTACCATGTTAGCAGTGGTCCACGCAGTCCTCGATCCACATCTCTACCCTACGTTTGAGTCACTCTCTTCCCTTGGCCAACGAGACCACTCGGTCCTCGTGGCTTAACTTACCTTGTAATCAGAACCTTCAGGACCATCCCCTCGATGGATTCTAATGGATTAGGATGCACCTGGCAGTTGCTGAGAGAACCAACTGGTTACTAAAGACTCCTGTGTATGTTAATCAATCGTTAGGATTGTCTGACCGTGAAAAAATAATTCCCGGTTGGTACCACATTTAGATAGACTTCTGTCCACGACGAAGAGGATAAATCTAAAATGTGGTATAAAACGTTCCCTTTTGCGAAGCCTTGTTTCTCAGGAAATCAAGCTACAATTATCCCTCGATGAATGCGACACGGGGAATGACGTTATTCACTCCACTAGGGGGATCCCCCTCTGGAAGCAATCGAAACAGAGTAAACGGAAACTAAGCAGTGGCTAGGATTCGGGTAAAAAAACAAATTTATAGGGGTTGCAAACGTTTTCAACTGGCCATGAATGCCCCGAAGCGGATCTGGGTACGTCGCACACATCGAGACATTATTGTAGATTGTGTCCGTGTCTGACCATTGACGTCTGACTCTACTTAACAGTTCATGTATACATTAAGTAGTAATATCGAGCAATGCTCAGGCGGGGAATCTTCTGGTTTGATAATCTGAAGAAGAAAGCTTTTCGAAGGGAAGTTTTATCCCACTTTTTTTTTCTATTTATCCGAACAGTCTGCATAATGATCATTAATCGAGTCTAGATATGGAACGAGGACGACTTAGGAATCGATGCTCGAGCGAGAGTCGGAATGGAAAAACACACAAGCAGAGCCCTTCCTCATCGACGAGGCCCCGTGTAATATTTTTTGTTCACTGTTTTTTTTCCGTTCTTTTCTTTCGAGGGAACGGGTTAAGCCTGATGAAGCTAGCGCATAAAACTTGACCAAAACCCGCGACTCGTGACGGTGTCGATATTATTCGATTTACACTGTCGCGAGGCGATCGATCATTGATCTATCGAGGATACATATACACACCTTTGGCCGTGCGACGACCACATCCTCCTTCGTGAATAAAATGAACAAAAAAACGGTATAATTATCTCGTGAAATCGTAATGTGGAACGGTCGCACGGTCGAAAGTGAATGATATTCTGACAGGAAGAAAAACTGGAAAATATTGCGACGAAAATTCACCAAAATGATCTATATACAGGGTGAATCGCTCTTTGCTAGGGTCGAGAAGCAAGCCTTTACTTGTTTTGTCGTTTAATTGCCCTGAGCAGCCTGTGTGTGTAACAAACAGTGTAGCTAGCGATTGTTAAATGACAAAACAGGCGACTTACCTCTCAACTCCAACAGCGAGCAATTCACCCTGTATATATATATACAGGGTGTCTCAAAATAACTTCGTCTCCCGGAAATGAGGGGTCTTTGGGGTGATTTGAAACAACTTTTTCCTCGGCGAAAATGTTCTCCGAGGCTTCGTTAACGAGATATTAATGAAAAACCCCAACATTTTCGCTGAGAAAAAAATTGTTTCAAATCACCCCGGGAACCCCTCGTTTCCGGGAGTCGAAGCAATTTTGGGACACTGTGTATATAGCCATCTCCACATTCTTTATTCTGTTGACTATTTACACTTCGCTTTCTCTCTTATTTCCTTTCTTCTTACTACTCGTGAACGCTATTTCTTGATCTATAAGAACAACCGTGGGGAAAAAAAGAGAAAATACGATCACGAAACCAGACACTACTGATCAACCATCACCGATTGTTGTGCAATCTCTGCGATCGATTATCTTTAAGTACGAAACAAACAAACAAAACCAAAACCATACAAAAAGAAACAACGTAATTAATCCACCGACTCGGTTAAGCTAATTTTATGTAAATTGAATGTGTAACCTACTTTCAGACGAGCAATAGAACTCTGGTGCAGAATGTATCTGTGACAGGCAGATCCCCCTCTCAGGATTACTATATGGTTAGTCCGCAAGTCCAATCTCCGCACTGTTTGACCGTTCTTAAATATTAATTCTTGAATCTTTTTTTTTTATATATATATATATATATATCTATCTGTCTGTCTATACGTTTGGTTTTCCATTAACCAGTTTGCCTCTCACCATACACTTTTGGTTTGTCCTCTCTGTTACATTTTTTTTCTTTCTTTCTCACCGTTTTGCTTTTCAGTTTGACGTACTCTTGATTTCACTTTGTCCATTCACTCTGATTTAATTCTCTAACCCAGACCTGTTTCTTTTTCTCATTAATTTTTTTTTTTGTTTCCAGCCCTGAGTTTGTACTTGTGGTTGTCTGCCTCTCCAACGTTATATCTCTCTCGCCTGTTTCACTCTCTATTTTGTTCCGTCTGGTCGCAGTTTTGCTTGGGAATCGCCGCGAGAGCTTGTACTCGCTTCATTTTCTGTTCCGCCGGTTCTTCAGTTCGCGCACAGCGGAGAGATATATCGAAGTCGTTGGATATTCCAGTGTTACCTGCCTCCATCCCAACCCCTTCCATTGGTCCTTCTTCGATGCTGTACCTCATCCAGGAGCTTGGTCCCAGCGAAGAGGATATGGCATTGAAAGGCTAACCGTCCCTTCCTATATTTTTCTCCACCTTATCCTTCCCTCGTGTTATCCAACCCCTTGACTTGGAATTTTTTGATCATCATGCTTTGCTGCGAACTTTTAGCCTCAAGTTTGTATCGAAAGGGCATAATTTTCTCAATTTCTTGAAAATTCAAGGGGTACTCCTTTTATTTTTAATTTTTTTTTTTTTTGTATTATTGCTATGTTCTATT